GACAAGCAAATGAAGTTGGCCAGGCTGATTCTGCTATAAGAAAAGTTATTTGAAGGCAAGAAAACAAAGTTTGGTAGTGATGATGAATGTGATGAAAATAGTATGTTTGGTGCAGTAAAAGAGCAGGGGAAGAAACAGAGAGGAAGCTGCATCGAGCAACAAAACCCTGAATACACCACAGCACACAGTAGTTAAGTTCATTTCCATTAGATTTGGATCTACTTTTGTCTTTGAAACAGTTTTGGTGGTGTTGTGTTGTTTTTTTTAAAAACAACAAAAACAAAAAGACCCAAATTAGGTCCTCTTCAATGTCCACCTATAAGAAAATAAAGTTTGTTGTTGTTCAGTGGGAATTTTTCAAACACATAGATCTGTTATTGGATAACTCAAATATCAAAAGGAAAGTTTTGTTAAATTACCTTTTTATAGGAGAATATATTAGTATAAACGTTAATAAAATATTTATGTTGTTGTTGTGTACCATTGAGTCGGAACCAACCCATAGCTGACCCCCCAGGGGGTTTTCAGAGGCATTTTAATTGCAAGGGACGAGATTACCCATCTCGCACAGAGCAGTTCATGGATTTGAAAAAAATAAAATTATAATAATAATAATAATTACAGTGTCAAGTGAATTTTAACAGAGATTCTATAAGACAAAGTAGAAGAAATATCAATAGTATTTTAGGAAAAATAAAAAATTGTACTTTACATGGGTTTTGACTGAAAACAGAGAGTACCAAAAGAGATATTCACATGATGGTGCACTATGAAACACTAAAAAGCAATAAAGAATTCGTGAAACACTTTACAACAGGGATGCACACAAAAGACCTTATGCTAAATAAGTCAGTCATAAAAGGGCAAATATTGTATAAGACCACTGTTATAAAAAGCAAAGTAAAGGTTTACATAGAGATTGAAACATTCTTGAATTGGTACCAATGATGAGAAGGGAGGGAGTGGGGAGTGAAAATGAGTAAGTAAATTATAGGAATGCATTAAGATTTTGTTGTCATGTACCATCAAGTTGGAATTGACCCATAACTGACCCTCCACAGGGTTTGCAGAGGCAGTAAATCACATGAGAGAACATTTCCCAACTTTCTTCATGGAGCAGCTGGTAGATTAGAAACAGCTTGCCTTTGGGCTGGCACATCTCCTTATCATTCAGCCACCAGAGCTCCCGATATTAAGATGCATGAAGGACAAAAGGACAAATATTGCCACTGTTGTAAAACGGGACTGACACTGGGGTTGGGGTAGACTGAGAAAGAGGGGATAAATAATGTACACTGCATTGAAACAGATGAGGGAGAGAACTATTTAAAAGAAATATAGGATTAGGTATTATTTTCATGATAAGAGTACAGAAAAAGAAATGCATAGTAAAGTGGACTGTGGACTTGGGGGGATTGTATAACAATGAAAGAATTTTTTTTTCTTTTGAAAGAGAAAAGTGAACTGGGGGAGAAGGGTGGGCAGGGAGGCACTATGAATGAATGGGGGGAAATTAAATGCAAAGAATATGCTGTAAAAATATATGTTGCATTAAAAGTCATTAATTAAAAAAATGGAAAAAAAAGATGCGTGAAGGGAAAGGTAATATCCAATAGGGGATGGTCAGCACAGTATCACTAATGACAGATCCAGAGAGATATAGAAGGATTAGTGGAAATCAGAATTACAGAGAGGAAGTGAGAAATGTGTAATTACATTGTAGGTATTGAGATTAACGTCATTGAACAAACTGTGTATGAATGGTTGAATAAAAAATTCATTTGCTTTGTAAATAATTACTCAAATCACAATAAATTATTTGTCAAATCATGATAAAAATGTAAAGATATTTGTGTTTTTAAAAGTTTATCTTTTTCATCCAAACACATTTTGTTTTATATCACAATTTTAAATCCCCAGGGTAATATTACTCTTCCCATTTATACTCTGTACTTCTCATTTCCATGAATCCTTCTCTCCTACCCCTTCCTGCCTACTGGGCTTTACCTTGGCATAAATGCTGTTCTTTTGACCTTATGTAGTTGATTATCCTAAAGAATGAATGTCTCTTCGTGTTGTTGGTCACCTTTACCCATGTTGGACAGTGTTTGATGGAGCTACTCGATTAAAATAAGCTTGGAAGCAGGAGTGGCATCCACTTCCAAAATAGCTTGCCTCTGGAAACTCTGTGAACATGGAGAAACGATGAAAGTTATACAAGTGTTTAGGTCTTTCATTCATAGGGTCCCTACGAGTTGTCTACAACTTGACAGCACTTAACAACAACAACGAGAGAGCTCTCTTGGCGTAGTGGATAGAAAGTTATTCTACCAAGTCAAAGGTAGGTGATTTTGATCTATGGCCCTCAGGCCTGATTTTAATTGTTTTTGGTTAAACATTCCTCTAAGTGGTATAGCACTGGTCTGGTCATTTGCTATACAGAGGTAACTTGTAGTTGCTGTGAAGCTGAATACTGTGACACTGATGTGTCAAATGCAATAATGGTTATCCATGGTGGACAGTGTTTGGTGGAGCTCCCCAATTAAAACAAGCTTGGAAGCAGGAGTGGCATCCACGTTGAAAATGACTTGTTGCTAAACTCTATGAACTTGGAGAAATGATGAAAGTTATAGAAGTGTTCAGGTCTTTCATTCATAGGGTTGCTATGAGTCATCTACGACTTGACAGCACTTAACAAACAACAACAGTATTTGACTATAAAATGAGTGATAGGGACCAATTTTGTTTCAAGCTGGAAGGATGACTAAGGACCACAGTCTTGAGGGTTCCATCAAACTCTCTGGGACCAATGAGCCTGACTTTTTTGGTGTATTTTTTAGTTTTGTTCCACAGTTTCTCCTACTTTTTACAGGATCTTCTACTTTGATTCCTCAGTAAGATAGATGGATTGGCTTAAAATGGGCTTAAAAGTAACAACAATTGTAAGGATAACACAAGACTGTAGGGTTTCGTTCCAATGTGCAAAGGACTATTATGAATCACAACCAACTAAACAGGACCTAGTAGTAACCCCACCACATCCCTACATTCCCAAAATTTCCCAGTTTCATCGATGGCCCCTGCTTTCAAGGATTTATAAGCCACTGAACAAGAGAATCTTTATGAAGGTGTGAATCTACTGAAAATTACCCTTCTTCTCCATGAACCTAGGAAAATCCCAGAAAATTCTGACTGAGTCAACAGGCCTAGGCTAGTGTTTAAGATTCAAGGGCCCAGTCTTTTCCAAGAACCCTTGCTTTCCCACAGCTTTTACTGAGAATTTGGGGCAAGAAGTGGCTCTCAATTGCCAGCACCAAACAGCATGTGAGTGTGGTTATCAAGTGGGCAGAAATGATTTGAAGCCACCTACCTTTTGACTCTTTGGAGGCAAAGATGATGAAGCTTTTTCTTTCATACTTTGGACATATAGCTAGGTGAGGCTATTCCTTAGAAAAAGACATCATGTTTGGAAAAATGGAAGGTCAGAGAAGAGAGGAAGACCTTCAACAAGATGGATTGGCAAGGTAATGTCAATAATGGCCCTAGCGTGTCAGAGATGATGAAGATGGCACAGGATAAAGCAGGGTTCAGGTCAGCAGTTCATAGGGTCACTATGACTCATACTTGACTCAATGGTATCTGACAACAACAGCCTTTTGTGGTTATCCTGAGTGACTTCAAATGATGGGGCCGAAGTCTAGGAAATTCTGAGCATTAGCACGAACAGAATTCCAGAAATCACTTAGTCCATATATTCAGGCAGATAAGTCAGTTGCAAATATTTATTGGAGTTGTACTGAGTTGGATAAGGTCTTTGAATGGAGTACACATCTTATACTCTACTTTTGCAACCTAAAGGTTGACAGTGCAATCCCACAATGCAAAGCCCAGGAGTACCAGGAAAGAAAGATCTAGTGATTTGCTTCCATAATGATTGTTTGTTGCTGTTGTTATATGAGTTAAAGAGGTTGTGAATCACCCAAGAAGAAATTGCCCATCTTTTTCTCATGGAGCAACTGGTGAATTTGAACTGCCAGCCTCTGAATTGGCAGTGCAATTCCATACCACCAGGCCAGTGCCCCATTTCAGTAATGGTTACAGCCAATAGAAAGAAAGAAAGAAAAAGGAGAGAGAGAGAGAGAGAGAGAGAGAGAGAGAGAAAGGGGAAGGGAGGAAGAAAGAAGACAGGAAGCCAACAACAAAAACCCAACCCCATGGAGCTCGGTCCTACTCTATTACCACATTGTTGTGTACAGTCTACTGGGAATCAGCTCACAGTTTACCCTTCAGCAGGTTCTCAGAAGCAGGAAGAGATTACTCAACTTTCTCCCACGGGGCAGCTGATATATTAGAATTGCATACTTTTGGGATGACAATGCAATTACTTACCACTAAGTAAATCACCATAAATCAGAATCAGCTTTACGATAAGGGGCTTGGCTTATTTGAATATTGTGTTGGAAATTCTCAGAGGACATGATGAGATACAGAAACATAACTGAAGTTCTAAAAGGACATAAAAACTACTTTAGAAAGAAGTCTGACTTGCCAAGGAAAGGAAGTCCAGCAAGGTCTGCTCATGGTGGTCGTCTTGGCTCAGTAATTCTCTATACTGATTAGAAGACTGATGTTTTTAAAAATCTCTAGGAATGGAAAGTCTACACTTCTCTTTGGTTTCTAATTTTGTTGTTTGGTTTTTTTTTTAAATCTGTTTGAAACCTTTAGTCTTATTTGCCATGGAGAGTATCTAAGGTCCAAGGATGATACGAATTCTCCTCCATCCACTATCACACCCTTCTCTCCCATATGGAGGCTCAGTCCTATTAGATCCCTTTGAGGATGAGGAGAGGAGATGTCATGGAGAAGTCAGGTCCAGTCTTTCCATCATCTCCTAGCGGCTGAGCAAACAACTTCTCCTTTAATTTCTCAGGGACCAGTGTCCCTCTCTGGGACAGGGAGGCTAATATGGGTAGAAAGAGAGCCATCTTGAAACATCTTTTCTATGGAGGGCAACTGGCCAGATGAGATGAGATGCTCAGCTCCTGAAAACTTGTCATCCGGATCAGGGTCACCTGAGGGGTCCTTTCTGCCTCTTGAGCTGCACAGACACAGAGCAAATTTAGATGAGGGGTTTAGAGGCAACATTTGATTCCTGATTCCCCCATCAACAACACAGAAAATTAGCAACTGAACCCTCACTCACATCAAGTGATTGGAATGGTCTTTAGGGATCTGAGTCTGAGAATCTTAGCCTGCCTCCACTTGCTCCAAGAAAACCTCACCTTTCCACACCACATCTCAACATTATGACACATTCACTTCAGGGGTATCTGAAACCGGCATATTGGCACAGGAGGGCTTCAGCTGGGCTGTGCAGAAGGCACACGTGCCAAGCTGGGCCCCGGGTCTGGGTCTGCATTCCTACTGAGCGAAGCTGGGGTTGCTTATGTGGTTCTGGTGTCAGCAGTGTCGTCATTGTATCTTTCCATCCTCCGAAGAGCTTCCCTTTGAGCTCTGAGATGGTGGTGAAATTCTTTTCTCTACTTGATTGATAAAGAAAAAAGGTCCAAGAGATGAAAATGACTCTTAAAAATGTAAGACTTTCTATCCTAGGAAAGGAGCCCTGGAGATACAGTGGTTAAGGAATTTGGCTGCTAACCAAAACATTGGCAGTTAGAATCACTGGCTTTATTCTTTACAGAAGCAGTCTCCCACGGAGGGGCTGGTGGTCTCAAACCATTGTCTTTCTAGTTAACAGCTGCATAAGCATAGCATCTGCAGAATTCCTTAAACTTGTGCTCCACAGAATCTGACCACCACACTGATCTTAGGTGCCTCTGCATGGGTTCAAACCACTTTTTGGCTTGTAGTCAAGAGCTTAGCTTTCCTAAAAAGATTAAAAACAAAAAGATTAAAAGCCATGGAGTGAAAGCAGCAGTGTGAGACAGAGTAGAACTACCCCGTAGGGTTTCATAGGACTGTGAATCCTAACTGAATCAGGTGGGCTGCCTCATGGTGGTGAGCTTGGAGCACAGAATTATCGGTTAGAGGTCAAATGCTTTCACCAAAGCACCCTTAGAGTTCCTCCGTAAAACGTTCAAAAGTCACTACCTTTAAGTGAACTCTTTCTCAAGGCACACTTCCATCGTGTTTCCAAGGTGATAAATCTTACCGGGAGGAGGAAGCTTCTAAATGAGCTGGTGGATTCAAACAGCTTACTACACCACAGTCTAGGAAATTCTATGGGGTACTTCTATAATGCCAGATGGGGTCACATGAGTCGCAAATGGACTCAGATCCGAAAGACCTGACACCATGTGACTCTCCCCAGCCCTGAGACACCAGATGGGGGTAAAAAGCACTTTCTTTGTCAGCAATAGGACTGCTTAACCCCAACTCACATGTTTTCTTTCTCCAGAACTTTCTCTGCAGGAGAACAAGAGGCAGAAGCATAACCAAGGGTAGCACTACGGAGACTGGAATCAGGATTTGAGAGACACTTTTCTCTTCTGGAAAAGAGCTAGGGTGGAAGAGGAAGAGATAGGGATGAGGAGAGTACAGGAGAGGGGAGCTTGGGGTTGGAGACAAAATACAAGGTCCTCCCATTAGAATTGAAGAAGAGAAGTTAGCTACCTTCACTTCTTTGGTGGTAGCAGATCATGTACTAGAACCCCTGTCTGCAGGTTCCCAACCGCTGAATCCTTCCCCCTATACCATCCCTCCGGGTAGAGACCTCGCCATGGGCCATGGAAGGAAGGAGAATCAAATGGGAGTCAGGAAACCCAGCTTTCAGTTTGTACTTGTTTCTGCTCCAATCTGCCCTTGTCTCTTTAGCAAGTCACTTCCCTTCTCTCGAGCTTCCATTCTCATCTTCATGTCAGCTCCAAAGTTTCCAGCCTTAACATGCTATCAGTTGATCAGATTTTGCTTAGAAAATACTCAGGTAGCACTTTTTCAGCAGGGACATGTGAATGAGAGGGATGCCTAAATGTTATATCCCTTGTGCTTTTCTTAATTATGGGTACAAAGGGAGAATGGGAGGAAGGAGAGGAGCATAGAGGCAGCTCTTCTCGGGACATACATGCCAGTGGAGGAAGCAGACAGAGCTGGAGCCCCCGCTGAGCAGAGGGCCTGGGTTCTCACCTCTTCATGGAGGACTCCTCATCACGAGGTCGCAGGGGCCCCAATGCTGGGACCTGGCTCAGCATTACTTGGGGACCACTGCCTCCAGCAGTAGGTACCAGCTCTCTTTCCATACTCCCCTCCACAGTTACCATCTCTTTGCTGGTGGTTTCCAAGGTCCACACATTTGCAGCTGGGGTTGCTTTTCCAATAGAATCCAGATCTGCTTGCTTAGAAACTGATGTTGTTTCTTGGATGGTTTCCCAGGCTCGTTTCTCTGCATTCAAAGTGGCTGGCCTGATGGTTCCTACGACACTCCAGGTTACATCTGAGGCTGTTTGTATCCTGCGTGTTTCCTCTGCTGGCCCATCAGCTTTGGGAGTTGTCTTTTTCTCTTCTTGGTCCACCCTGACCCTTTTTGTTTCTGAGCTGCTGGAGCCCCACGCCCAATGGTCTTCTGTTGCGTTTGATATGACTGCAAGTTTTGAAGCCCTGCTCTCTGGACTGGGAACTGTTGCTCCAATGAAACCTTCTGCCCAGCTGCCCGATCCTGGAACTGCTGCCCTGGTTATTCCTGGGGTTTGTCTTCCTGTAGTGGAAGCTGCTTTTTTGTTTGCTCCTGGAGTTGGAGTAACTTTATTGCATTCTGTCCTCTGCCTTTCCGTGGTCCAGATGGGCCCTAGGGTCTGTTGATTGGCCATTGGAGATGCTGTTGTCCAAGAGGTCATGGTGAGCTCACTCGCATCAGGCGTGGCTGTGGGGATGGTGCTGGAAGAACCTGCATGAATAAAAAGAAGGAAACCACATGAAAGTCTTTCTAGGCCACCTCCTAGGCTTAACCAACGATGCAGGTTTAAAACCTTTGTTAAATGGAATTTAACCTACTGACAGATATGGTCTTTGGCCAAGATGTTGGATAAAATTATTTGGGAAATTCAAATGCATTCTTTTTTTTCTATATTTTATTAATTTTCATAAACATTTACAGAGATTTTGGGTTTCCATTCATTCATTGTTGCACTATTCTCTCTACCCTCCTCCCAGTTTGTTCTTGTCCAAATGCCACAGTGCTTGTCAAAGCCAGTTCTGATTAATCTTCTTTGTCAGTGTGTCCTTTGCCATTCCCTATCACTCCTCCCTGAGAGAGACTTCACCCTGAGTCATAAGGAAAAGGGGATGGCGTATTCTCTTAGCTACTTCCTGCTGAAAAGGGACGCTGTGGGTTTCAGGGTGAAGATCTTCTCTCACTACTCTAAAGGGCCCCTTTGGCAGTAGGAAACACATAAACTATTATGGAGATTGATTTTGGAATTTAGATGCACTCTTATTGATTGGGCTTGGCCGTACATGTTCATATCCTTGAAGATGTATCATGGGGGTGTTGCAACCTAGAAGACACAAATTTGACTAACAAGTTATAAGTACATGAGTCCAGAAATTATGGAAAAGTAAAAGAAAAGATTCTTTCATTGTTTTACAAACCCTCCCCCAGGTCCCCTCCACCATGTAGTCCTCGCTCTAATCTCCTGTGATGACAGAAATACCTAGTTATATATCTCTTTTAAACAGTTTTCTCCCTCCTCTGTTTCAGTGCAGTATACATTATTGAACCCATCTTACTCAGTCTCTCCCCAGCCCCAAGGACAGTCCCATTCTACAACAGTGGCATCATGTAATATTTGTCCTTTTGTGACTGGGATATTTCACTCAGCATAATGTTCTCCAGAGTCAACCATTTTGAATAATATTGCATGAGTTCCTTGTTTTTTAATGCAGCATAGTATTCCATTGTGCGAATATACCACAGCTTCTCTAGCCATGAAATTCAAATGCATTCTATAGTCTGTTATAAATATTGATATTTTCTGTTTCTATCTCTCCTCTCATGCCCACCTCTTTTCACTCGGAGGTCCAGGTCCTCCATGGTGACTTTTTACTGAGAGGTCCATAGCTTACCCCGCACATCTTTTCAAAAGAGAATATAGCCAACAAAACCCTAGTTTGAGCATGGTAGCCAATCTCAGCAGGTGTTTGGAAGGGAGCATCTAATAGAATAAATCCAGGCTTGGGCTTCAGTGCCTGGTTGCTCGCTGACCAGCTGTTACTCCTGTAGAGCGGCCTTTCACAGCATGGCTGCCCTCTGCTTGTTCCCTGCTTGGGTCTTCCGAATCAGCTCTGGGACCTCACTCAGAGGGATTGGAGCGACTGCCAGATGTCTGCTGTGGGGTTCAGCCAGTGTCTGCTATAGGAAGCATCTGGTCCCAGATCCTCTGTCCCTGTCCCACCTGTCTTGTTTACTCTGTGGTTGTCCCTCAACATGTCTGATGCCTGAGCTATTATGGCCACAAGAAATGACATTGTCCAGTTCACTACCTTCTCAGACCTATGTCCAAAAAGACATTCCACAAATTTTGAAGGGGAATTGGGTAGCATAGCCTATGAGTGAGTGCTCAGCTGGGATGTGTTTTTCTTAATATCTATCTGATTTTTAAGTACTCAAATCAGTTGCCAAATAAACACCTCTGACTAATATTGACCCTGTGTGTGTCTGAGTAGACCTGTGCTCCAAAAGGTTTCCAATGACAAATTTTCCAGAAGTACATCACTAAGCCTTTCTTTCAAGGCACTGCCAATTGGACTTGAACCTTCAACCTTTTGGTTAACAGCTGTATGTGTTAACCATTGGCAAAACACATCACTGTCAAGTCAGTCTTAAGTTCTAGTGACTCTAGAGGATGGATTAGAACCACCCAGAAGGGTTCCCAAGTCTTGAGGAAGCAGTCTGTCATATCTTTTACCCACAGGGCAGCTTATGAGTTTGAACCACTGACCTTTTCTGCAGTAACTGACCCAGCACTTAATATTGCACCACCAGGGCTTTGCACCACCTTGATGTTGTCGCTGGGTAAATGAAGTCTATTTTTTTAGAGCCCTTTCTTTTAACTGCTTATCATCCCTTAGTGTCTCTCCCTCTCCCACTCCCTCTCCCTCTTTCTCTCTCTTTTCCATCCTCCAGCCTTTGACTCCTACCTGCAGAGACAGTCAGATTCATGCTGAAGAAAAGCATGTCATTTCTGTTTCCAATGCCGCAGCGGTAATAGCCCTCATCAGTCGGGGACAGTTGCGACAGCCTCACCACAAACAAGCCGCTCCGTGGGTGGTCTTCCAGAGCCACTCGACCGTGGTAGCGAAGGTGAATGTAGTTTTTGGTGGACACAATGGTCCGGCAGATCCATGTTGGGGGACCCAGACGGCACCAGTACTTCCTCTGGTGCCTGTTGACAGAAGTGGGAGCATAATGGCACTTGATGGTGACAGCTCCCCCGAGCTCCCCAGAGACCAGCCTTGAGCCCTTCAAGGCATTTGCAGCTGAAAGTAGAGAAAAAAGTCCAAGGAAAGGAGTTCTGTGTATAATCATTATTGGAGGATTTACAAGCCCCAGTGACTAAAGATGACAGAAGAATTGATGCCTTTGAGTTGTGGTGCTGAAGAAGAGTATTGAACATACCCTGGACCTCCAAGAGAACTAACAAGTCTGTCCTGGATAGAGTGAAACCAAATTGTCCCTTGGTGGCTAGGATGTTGAGACTCTGTCTCACATACTTTGGGCATGTTTCCAGGAGGGCATAGTCCTTCAAGAAGAACATGATGGGGGGGGGGGGAAGAAGACCATGATGCTTGGAAGGGTAGAGAGACAGGAGAGGAAGACCCCAGATGAGGTGGATTGACACAGTAACTAGAGTAATGAGGGTAGGTTTTTCAAAGACAGTGAAATTGGCTCAGGATACAACAGGGCTCAGCGCTATTATGCATAGGGTTGTTATGAGTTGTTGCTGACTCGATGACATGTAACAACAACAAACTTCCAGAATTAGGGACAGGTTAGAAAATTATGAAAATGAAGCTAAGAAGACTCAATATGGAAGTGGTAGAACTTGTTCACTGAGGCAGAGCTCCATCTGAGAGAAGAGCATGTAATAATGATTTATCAACAATTTGGCTAACGTTTATTATGTGTTCCCACAACTTGTCTGCCAGTTTGTTGTACTTTGGTTGCTGCTGTGTTGCTATGATATAGGAATCTATGCTACCAGTATTTCAAATACAACAGGACCACCTATGGTGGAGAGGCTTCAATTGAGTTTTCAGACTAGGACAGACTAGAAAAAGTGGTCCTGTGATTTACTTCTGAAAGTTATCCAGTGAGTGTGAAGGAGATGTTGATGAAATAGCGTGGCACAATAATGGTAGCAATGAACTCAAACATGTTGGTGATAAAGAATCCAGAGCCATGACTCGGTTTTATTTACAATAGCAAAGAGATGGAAGCAGCCTAAATGCCCATCAACAAATGAATGGATAGAAAAATTGTGTCCATTCATACAATGGAATATTATGCAGCAATGAAAATCAGCGAACTTGTAAAACACTACACAACATGGGTGAGCCTGGGAGACATAATGCAGAGGGAAATTTCTCAGTCACAAAGGGACAAATACTGCATAACATCACTGTTATAAAATAAGACAACATGGGGAGTTGGAGAGAGAATAGGAAAAGAGTAGATAATGAACATTGCATTGGAACAGATGAGGGAAAGAATTGCCTGAAAAGATTGTATGATAAGACATTATATGAGTAACAACAATCTAGAACAAGAGGTTCATTGTTAAGTGCAATGGGGGAGGGGAAGGAAGAGGGAGGGAGGGAAATGTGCAGCCTCTATGTAAACCTTCACTAAAATAACAAAAAAATTTTCAAAACCAGCTTGTTGGTGGTCATGAGGATGACACATAAGGCAATGCATTATTCTATTGTACATAAGTCATCATGAATTGGAATTGAGTTGATTATAATGAAATGTACAAGGAGCTGTAGTCAAAATAAAAATCAAAAGGGCTAAACTTGCTCATCATTCCTTAAGCTGAAAGAACTAAAGAACAAATTAAAGCTGCAAGTTGCAAGGCTATGGACAGAATAGTGAATGATTCAGGAAGCATTACAAGAAGATGGAAAGAATATACAGAATTATTGGACCAAAAATAATTGGTTGACACGGAAGAATTTCAAGAAACAACATATGATGAGGAGGTAATGGTGTTGAATAAGGAAGTTCAGGCTGCTCTGAAGGACTTGGCAAAAATTAAAGCCCCAGAAATTGAAGGAATACCAATTGATGTATTTCAACAAACAAATGCTGCCCTGGATGTGCTCACCAGGTTGCTCCAAGAAATCTGGAGGACAACTACCTGGCAAACTGATTAGAAGAGATCTATATTCCCATTCCCCCAAAAAAGGTGACCTGACTAGCAAAATCCTGCTGAAGATTATCCAGAAATGACTGGAACAGTGCATTGACAGAGAACTACCAGAAATCCAAGCTGGCTTTAGAAGAGGTCATGCCTCTAGAGACATTATTGTCAGTGTCAGATGGATCTTGGCAGAAAGCAAAGAGTACCAGAGAAATGTCTATCTGTGTTTCATTGACTATGTAAAGGCATTTGATTGTGTGGATTACAACAAATTGTGGCTAAACTTTAGAAGAATGGAAATCCCAGAACATTTGATTGTGCTTATGTGAAACCTATACCTGGACCAGGAGGCAGTTCTCAGAACAGAGCAGGGAAACACTGCACGGTTCAATATCAGGAACGGAGTGCATCAGGGATACATCCTGTGTCCATACCTTTTCAATCTATACACAGAACAGATCATTTGGGAAGCATAGTTTTATTAGAAGGAATGTAGCATTAGTATTGAAGGAAGACTGATCAACAACGTACATTATGAGATGACACAATCTTGCTTGCTGAAACGGAATAGGACCTGAATCTTCTGATGCAGAAGGTGAAGGACTGCAGTCTTCAATATGGATTGAAGGTCAACATCAAAAAGACAAAGATTCTCACCCCTGGTTCAGTTGGCAGCACCATGATAGATGGAGAAACGATTGAGGTTGTTAACAATTACAACTTACTCAGCTCCACAATCAACACTCTTAACACCAGCAGTCAGGAAATGAAAAGATGAATTGCACTGGGAAAATGCACTGTCAGGGACTCTCCAGAGTACTGAGAAGCAACAATGTCAATCTACAGACTAACGTGTGCCCGAGCCAGGCCATTGTCTGCGCAATTACTTGTTGTGCATCAGAGAGCTGTACAATGACTAAGGGTGACAGAAGAATTGATGCCTTCAAATTGTGATGCTGGAGAAGAGTCTTGAACATACCATGGACTGCCAAGAAAACAAATCTGTCTGTCTTGGACACAGTGAAATCAAATTTCTCCTTGGAGGCTAGGATTTTGAAGCTTTGTGTCACATGTTTTGGTCACATGGTCTGGAAAGACTGGTCCTTGGAGAAGGACATAATGCTTGGAAGTATGGAGGGACAGCACAGGAGAGGAAGACCCCGGATAAGATGGATTGACATAGTAATTGGGCCAATGGCTGTTGGTGTGTTGGAATTAGTGAGATTGGCTCAGGACAGGGCAGGGTTCATAGCTGCTGTACACAAGGTTGCTATGGGTAGCAGGTGAATCAAGAGCACATAACAACAACAACAACAACATCTATGTATCTATATATCTGTTAATATGCTATGTGCTCTCATGTTGTTGTTATGTGCTATCAATTCGTTGCCTGCCTTGCAACATGCCCAAAGTATGTCAGACAAAGCTACAGAATCCTTGCCTCCAAGGAGCAGCCTGGTCATACCCTCTCTAGGATGAACCTGTTTGTTCTCCTAGCAGACCATCATATATTCAATACTCTTCTCCAGCACCACAGCTCAAAGGCATCAATTCTCCTTCTATCATCCCTTGTCATTGTCCAGCTTTCTGATGCATAACAAGTAATTACAAAGACAATGGCCTGGACTATAGCACTTTAGTCTCCAGACTGACATTGTTGCTCTTCAGTACTTTGGAGAGTTCTCTGACAGTTGACTTTCCCAATACAATTTGTCTTTTAATTTCCTGGCTTCTGGTACCAAGAGTGTTGATTACGTAGCCAAGCAAACCCTAGCTGTTAAGATGATAAACATAAGACAATCAGAGCCGATGTACTTCCAATGCCTTGTGTTCTAATATTGTTGTTGTTGTTGATTGTCTTAGAGTCGAGCACTATTCAAAGATACACTTTGAACAAAAGGCCTGAAGCTTTTCTATAACCATCGACATTTATCAAAGTTCATAGAGTTTCTGGAGGCATGTTGTTTAGAAAGTGGATGCCACTCCTGCTTCCAAGCTCTAATATTAGCGACTTTAAAAGCTCCTAAGTACCTGTAGGTGGGAATACCTTGGAGAGAGAAATAGAGGAAGGGGAAGGGGAGAGGAAATGGAAGAGGAAGAAGAGAGAGATAGATACTAAACAGGAGCTGTGAAACACTGTTCTTTTCCTCTGAAAAAGGAGAAGTTATCCTGAAACATAAAACGTGGCCTACTTGGTAGGCATATCCCTGGACCAGTGGTTGCAAAAAAGTGTTCACACCAGCCATTGTTCTTGTAGAAACAGAAACAACCAAGTTCTACTGTAAAATTACTGACAGAAGTACTACAAACATGTCTGTTTTGGCAATAGCCATAAAGATGACTCATAGTTAAAGCACAGTATATGACCAATATGCTGATGGAGTTAAATGGAGTATAAGATGAAAGCAGAAACAGATATTTTTTTTTTCTTTCATTACCTTTTCATAGGTATTTGGTGGATTCCTCTGCCCAGATAAAATTGGAGCCATAATGTTGACTAATAGATTTCATGTTATTTTTAGATGCTTAGAGTAGACTCTGACTCCCAGCGTCCTCATGGGCAGCAGATGGAAGCCTTGCCTGATCCTGTTCCATCCTCACAGTATCTCCACTGGGTTTGAGCCCATTGTTGCCGTCCCGTCACTATTTCAGACCAACTTGTTGAGGGCCTTACTCTTCCTTATGGACTCTCTGCTTTTTCAACTATTATGTCTTATCCCAAGAACTGACCCTGCCTGATAACGTGCCCGAAAGTATGTCAGTCAGTCTCACCATCCTTGCCTCTAAGGGACACCCTGGCTGCTCTTCCTCTAAGACAGACTTGTTTGTTCTTTTAGCAATTCATAATAGTCTTATAATTCTAGTGTAGTTTAACATTAAATATTTTTTACAAGCCAATAAAACATGACACCTTCAATATCTTGTCCAGTTGAAGCCTTTTGGATCCTCTCACATATGACCTGATTCTGGCTGGGAGGTTGATTATGGTGTAAAGGGACATGTTAGGGATTCTTTCTTTGCGATGCACCTTCCTCCAGTCAGAGTTGTCTGGGGTCTCTCCAGGGTTAGGCATGGAGGGCAGGGTGAGATAAGTGGGACAGCTGTGATCTGCTGGTGGGACTTTCTAGGTTGACAAATGTCCAACCCACACCAAACCCACTACTGTCAACTTGGTTGCGACTCACTGTGGCCCCATGTATACCAAGTAGAATTGCCCTGGAGAATTTTCAAGGCTGAGACTTCTTATAAACAATGTGTCAGGACTTCTTCTTAGATGCCTCCGAGGACATCCAAACTACCCAACTTCTAATTAGGACACAAATATTTAAACATTCGGTGACTGGGGTAATCGGGATGGGTGTGTCAGAGGCAGTGCGGTTGGCGCAGGATAGAGCAGGGTTTAGGGCTGTTGTGCATAGGGTCGCTATGAGTCGCAAAGGACTCGACGGCACATAACAACAACAACAACAACAGGCCATACAGGGACCTGGCAGAGGTACAAAGCTGTTCTTTTCCATTTGTGGCATTTCCCTTTTGCCTCTAACGATTGCTATGACTCTTCGCCATCTTTCATATACTCAGTCAGGTACATGATGGGTTGTTGATAGGACAATCAACTTTATTATCTCTTTCACAGTTCTGCATAAGTGGAATCAACTTTATTGTAGAATATACAATGCCTGAAGCCCATTAATTTGTTGTGTGTCTTTGAGGCCATGGGACCCAAGAAAGAAAGAAATTTCAATTTAATATCTTGTTGCTATCATTTGTTACATAAATATTATGTCAAGGGCCACATGAAAAATGAAATGTGGAACTTCCTTATCAGGAATTTCAAGATGGTGGCTCTAAAGCATTAAAGGGAGCCAAGGCTTTCTGGGCCTGGGGCTTATGTGACTGTGCGGATGGCATGTGCCTGAAACCAGCCTGCTATGTAGTTCTGATCTCAGAGTCTAATTATAAATATAATGGAGGTCAGAAATGCAATGTATATACTGAAACTTACTGTAGATTTAATTACATTCACCATGAACTAGATCAATAATGATACAATTAAATAGTAATTCATCATTAACAGCAATTACAAACAAAGGCCATCGCAGACAACAGTGTGACTCCCTGATTCAGGGCTCATATCAACTTTGCAGTAGAAATCGGATGAAGAATCCTTTATTAACTCTTGAAATCATTGCTTCCTTATTGCCAGATTTAAGTTACCTTTAAGAACTTATTTTAGTATGTTACTGATAAACAGCTTTTAGTTACATATAGGAGTTACAATGTGTTTGGAATTTTATGAACACTACTATTGAGAATCAAAGTAAAGGCTACAGTTTTAGGATCAATTCTGGGGTGCAGGCATTTCATTAGGGGTCTGAGCACTTTATCAGGGCATTTCCACTGTTGTCCAAGATGATCCTTATTTGCAATTGCTTTTATGATAAATTAACATTTAACTGTGTTGCTCTTGATCTAGTTGGTGGTGCATTTTATTAAAGCTATGGCCAATGCTAGGGGAGCTCTGGTGGCCTAGTGGCAAGGAGCTGCAACTACAATCCCAGAGGCGCACAGTTCGAATCCACCAGATGCTCTGCCGGGGAAGGAGGGACAATCTCCTCCTGTACCAATCAGATCTGATTTGACGGTACACTCACACAAAAATAAAGTAAAAAAAAAAAATTAAAAAAAAAAAAAGCTATGGCCAATGCTGACAGATCTATAGTACTTGCATACGCTGGTGTGTACCTACAATAACATCTGCCTACCTGGATTTCCTTATACTTATTTTCTGTTCAATGTCCTTTTATTCCTAGCCATCATCAAGCAATCATCCTCTATGGCCCTAGTTTCTCTTAGTAAGCTGATGAGTGATGTAAGTCCCTGGTTCCTCCCTTCAGGCAAGGTAATGGATCACCTGACATAACTGAAAGTTTGGTTAGTGAGGTTTGTATTTACATAAGGCTGAGGAAGCACAGGAGGGCTGAGGAGGACAAAGGCTGAGCAGACTTGCTCAACTTCAAAATAACTCTTCTCCCACCACCACAGGGGTGAAGAAGAGTATTTCCATGGCCCAGAGGCAAGTCCTTGAGGGGAATGAATATAAGTGGTGATTAGCTATATGACATGTAAATCTGTTGCTGTAGAGTCAATTTCAACTCACAATCAGCCTATGTTTTTCCAGAGTAGAATTACCCTGTAATGTCTCCTGGGCTGTAATCCTTAAGAAAGCAGCTCATTAGGCTCTTCTGTTGGGCTACTGAGTGGATTTGAACTGCCAATCTTTTGGTTCAAGTCTATCTTCATTATCTCATGCTGCTATAACAAAAAAAAAATCACAAGGAGTGGCTTTAACAAATAGAAATTACTTTTCTCAAGTTTCTTTCTCAAGGTTTCTGAGTTTCAACCAACACATAGCTGACCCTTCATTAGGTTCCCAAGACTGTGAATTGCACAGAAGGAGATTGCCCGTCTTCCTCCATGGAGTTGCTGGTGGATTCAAACTTGAGGAGAGGCAAAGCTTTTGGGTTAACAGTGCAACTCCCTACAGGCCAGGCCGTCAGAAGCTAGAAATCTAAACCCTGGATGTTAGTTCTAGGGGACTTTTTTTTTTCTTTTCTCTATGTGTTGGCTCTTCAATAAGATCCTTGACGTTTCCATTTGTTTCTTCTTTAAGATTTTCATCTTGCTTTACATCAGTCTTCCCCCATCAGCTTCCTTGGCTTTAGGCTTCCTCATCCTCTTTTGTCTATCTGATGGTAACACCCCCCCCCCTTCCTGTCCATTCCTCTGTCCCTGGGTAGGCAACCCTCCTCCTCAGCTTTGGACAGTGGCTTTGTCCCCTTTGTATTTGTGAATGGCAGCACCACATTCCAGAACCCAACTTGATGAAGACCAACCTCTTGGACCTGGGACGTGTGACCCCAGTACTTGAAACTGGCACAGTCCTGCTTCCCATGCTCCTTCCAACAGATCTGTTGATCTCTGAGTGTCCCCAAGGATGATCTTTTTCTCTCTTTGAGGCCAACAAATAGACCTCCTTTGGCTTGTTTCCTGTCTATACAATTCTAAGAGGCAGACAGTGTCCTTTTGCTTTCATTCTTTCTCTACAGTCTCTTCAAGCTAATTGATACATTTTCTGTCTTGGTGGTTGGTTGCCTCCAACTTTCCTCTTTCTTCAACCTCCACTTTTCCCAGCATGATGTCTTTTCCCAAACTCGTATAGTCTTCACCTATCACCCAACTGTTTGGCTGTTTTTTATTTTGTTAACAATTGAGTGCAAGCTGAGCTGGAAGAATCTTGTTTAAGTCAATCATGACCTGGTGGCAAGCTTTGTGTTTAAAAATTGGTTGGTGGTAGTTGTGTTTGGGGAGAACACTGTTCTAAGTGGTACAGCACTTGTCTATCAGTTTGCTGTACCGAGATAACTTGAGGTTGCTGTGATACTGAAGGCTGAGCCACTGGTGTGTCAAATGTCATAATGGTTACCCATGGTGGACAGGGTTTGGTAGAGCTCCCAGATTAAGACAGACTTAGAAGCATAATTGGCTTCCACTTCTTAGATAACAGGCCTTGAAAATCTATGAGCACTAGAGAAATGATGATAGCTATAGAACAGGATTTAAAGCTCTTGTTCAGAGGGTGCTATGAGTCATACTAGACTCGATGGCTCTTAACAACAACAACATTCAGACAGTATACCACTCTGCCCGTACCCAATTCTATATTAATTATCTAGTAGTGCTTCCATAACAGAAAATTACAAGTGGATGACTTTAACAAAAGGAAATTCATTTTCTTACAGTTTAGAAGGATAAGACCTCAAACTTAGAGGTCTGCTCTAGAGGAAAGAATTCTTTATCTAATAGCTTATTTCCTAGTTTCTTGGAAATTTCCCAGAAATCAGGAAACAGATGCTGAAAACAAGGACTTTGACTTAACATCTACAGAGAGAGACACTTTTGTTTTTGAAAGCTAGTCACCTGTGGTGTTTTCTGTAGCATTTCTGGATGAGTAAGGAAGTTAATAGTTGATTACAAACTGCTTGTGTAACCCAGGGACCTTTTGTCACTGCTTTCGCTATATCCTTCTATGGCTCTGCATTACATGAGTATGACATTCAGATGCCACAGAGTGGAGATGGGGCAGTCGTCAGTCTGTCTGATCTACACCGGGCCAGCCTCATCACACCAGACTGTGAAGACCTTTAAGCCAGGAATCCTGTCTCTTTGATCTTTGCATCCCAGTGGCTGACACTTAGTTGGCTCTGTATAAATGTGTGTTGAATAAGTAAGTACATGAATAAATAGAACATTTGTTTACTTATCTATTTCCTTTGAAAACTCTGAACTCTTCAAGAGTAGGGCAGGGTCTTATCTTTATGAGCCTAACACTTAAGTGTTTGTAGAATGAGTAGCAATGAGGCCCTGCTACTTCTGTCCTTGGCATGGCCTGGGACCCTTCTCCTGCAAATACAGTTAATTTTGAGCCATCTGCTTAAACGGAAGAGAGCAGAACACGGGCAATATTGAAACATGAATGTGTTAGAAATTATCCAGTCAGGAAGATGCCTTGTTCTTTAAATTATCACTTTCATAATTTCTTTTACACCAAATTTGTCTACTCCAAGGCTATAGTTACGTCAAGCTCTGAATCCAAAGAGCTAAAGCCACTGATGTATGCGTTCACGTTGATAAGCAAGTGCAGGGTGCTCCTGAGGTGCTGGTCAGGAGCCTTTCTGGTCTAGGTGACCAGGGTTTGGGTTTGCATTGGTTCAATAAGCTCTTTTATAAACATAGGCCTGTGATTGGGACTCACCTTGGAGCAAGCAGAGGGTGAGGAGAATAGGCATTTTCCATCCTGCACTCTGATTGGTGACCTGCAAAGGACACAATGGGAAAGGAGAATCAAGATGGGCAGCAGTGGGACCTGGGACAGTACCATCCTATGGTGGGATCTTCAGTGTGCATTTCTGAACAGAGTAGTACCTGTAACCTCTAAGCACAAGACAAAGAAATCCATCGTGGCACAAATGGTCAAGTTCTAACCTGCTCACAGGCCCTTGGAAGACAGACTTGGTGATCTCCTTCCAAAGGCAACAGCTTTGAAAACCCACAAACCAGTTCTCCTCTACATGCAGGAGGGCACCTTGAGTTTCAATAAACCTGATGACAATTAACACCAACAACAGAAGCAAGACAAGGACTGGACTACCCTTCTATGGAGAAGATTGACTCCTCCCTCACCGTTCTAAATATGCATCTGTAGTTTTGGTTACCCTCACCAGGGTTAAAATTCCCCCAAATCTTGAGGTTTCTGTGTTTAGAAGCAGAGAAACTCCCTCTATGGGATTCCAAGTCCAGCTTCTACTTTCCAGCATGGAGCTCTGAACTTGAGGGAGAGAATTGTGAAGTGGAAAAGGTACATGCTTAAAAGTACAGACCTTAGCTGTGATTGTAAGACCTTGGAAATGTGGCTCAGCCTTGGGAGTTGGTTTCCTCCCTGGGGGTGAGGCAATGTGAGCAGTGCTTGTTGTCTAATTTAAATGAGAAAGTTCTAACAAGTGCCTGAGATACATAGAGCAATTCCTATCTCCTCTCCTGCCCCTTCCTCTTTGCAGAAGAGGAATTTATTCCTTCAATGGAAACTTGCTGTATCTCTCTTTTTGAGCCTCTAGGCAGCAACAAAAAATTCAAAATTCATATTCTGACCAAGTAGTTGTCTGGACAGGGTCTGTCTCAGCGACTACTCTGTACCTTGTCCATGACTTCCAGAAAGTTCTCCCTGCTCTAAGTCTAAATTAACCTTCCCCTTGAAAGGCAAGATCTTGTCTCACTAACTTCTATCCCCAGTTTCTAATAAAAGGTCAACACTTGGCAGGTGACAAAGCACAGCTATTATGAACAAGAACCCAGAACTTTCTAGTGCACCCCATGGCCATGACTAAATGGCCTATTATTGTGGGTAGATTGCAAAGACAGAGATTGTACATACTTCTTTTGTTCTTCCCAGAAGGATACTTTTAAAAATCTGCTCTTTGAGTTTATATACTTTTTTAAATTCCTGTAACCTATAGATTAAGAGAGACAAAGAGACAAATTAAGTTCAAGCATTTAGCCATTGTAAACGGCTCCTTCCTACTCTAATTCATTCTTTATTATGTTAAGAACGAAGTTCCTGTGCGATGCAAAGAGTAATGTCCTCAGCTGCTAAATAGAGTTTAAATTTTCAAGCCACCAGGAGGAGCTGTCAAAGACAGACGTGGAAATTCACGTCTGAAGAAATCAGCCTCTAAAAACTCTGTGTGACGCAGAACACAGTTTTACTCTGATACAATAGTCAATCACCACTGGTTGGAGTCAACCTAAAGGCGTTTTAAAAAATGTTAACTGTTAAGAACAGGTGCTTTTTTATGTAAACCAATATAAAATAAAAATTAAAAAAAGAACACACCAACCAGTTAATAAAATAAATGCTTACTTGACTCAAGGGCAAGACTCCTCCCTACCACCTTACTCTCCAACTTGAGTAAAGCCCCATAGAGATAATGGCTGTAGGAGTGGGAACCAGAAAGAGGAGAAGAGGAAATGACAATAAAAACAATGGAGGGAGGAGAAGAGGAAATGAAAAGTTGCAAGTAAAAAAAAGAAAGGAAGAGAGTGAATAAAAGCCAACCGAAGAGTTCATGAGTTGGCTAACAGTTCAAGTTGTTGACTTCTACTGGACTCTATCGATCCAACTCCACAAGGCCTTCAGCTGCTCTTTCTAATAAGAGCCTTGTAAGGTCGAATTTGGAAAAGTGCATAGGTTTCACACACCTCCTTTTGTGCCTCTCTTCAGTAAACTCCCTGTCATGGCTCTGCCAGACTCCTCAGATCCCTGCCTGCCTCCTGGAGGGACTGGTTGACTGTCCTCATCTAGAAACTCTTCCAGGCTGTGCCTGAACCTAATCAGTTGTTTGATTTATGTTCACCAAATCTAGGTTCCGGTTGGACCAACCTAGCTTCCCTCTGGACTAATTTTTCTACAGCGGCGAGTACTGACACAACACATCTCAGGACCAGTGTGGCCACCACACCCCCTAGTTCCTCTGAAGTCTAAATGGTAAAGCAATTTCCGTTTCATGAACAAATGTGCCTCTGTGGGGCAATAAGGAAGCTCAGGATGCAAGATAAAAGTCTTCAGAGAGTTATCAGGCTTGATTGGTGACTGGAAGGATAACATTTCAACCAAATTTCTCTCAGCTTCTCCTTGCCCATGACCTTCAGATAACCATTTTCTGGAAGACTGGAAGGTCTGGTTACGTATCGTATCTTGGGCTCACAGGTCCCTACCACCTTGCATAGCATTTCAAGTGGCGAGAGACATGCTGAGAACTCTCATGGCCCTCTGGTCTTGCCAGAAAGGACATCTTGCTAATGCTCCGGACAGGCTGGTGTGGGCCTCCTCTGATCTCACCTACCCCTGGGAGAAAGACTGAGACCAGACAAGGAAGGAAGGGAACAATGTACAGGGACAAGGACCTGGATCGGAGGCTTCTGCTTTGCCCATCACTGACCAGATGAGTGACCTTGAGTGGTGTACTCCCACTCCATTACCAAAAAAAGAAAAGATCCTGATTGTGTAATCTCCAAATTCTCTCCTCTTTTTAGTGTTTGTCTATTCCAATTGACCCAGAATCCTCTAAGTAAGTATATAGTTAGGTGGAAGAGTAAGAGAGAGTAAGTAGAAAAGTAGGAAGGTAGAGGAAGGAGCTGTGGCCTGAACTCCATAATCCTTACCTGGCCTCCTTGAGTGGACCCAGCATGCTCTGGGAGGAGAACCTGGGTGCACACTTGGCAGCTGCTGCTGTAACTCACCTCCCCTAATCACAGACAAGACCCCAACCTGAGAGGAACTCTTCATCTCACCTTCTGTTCTCCAGGCTTGGTTTGTTCTCCATCCATCTTGATTCAGAAATCAAGTGTTCCTGAACTTCTAATCTTGATCTTCTGGTATTTGAAAGCCACCTTGAAATCTTGATATGGAGTACAAAATATGTATTCCAAAGAAGCTGTTCTTAGGCCTAGAAGAACTGGAGAACTGGGTACAAGACATAGCTCTGGTACCCACCTCTCCGCAGTTTGCAACAAATCATGTCTGTCAGGGCCTTGGTTTCCATGACTTATAATGCGGGCCCCAGTCCAGGGTCCTTACTGCCACTTATTCTCCAGAACTTTTCCAAACATTGGTGACAAATGCTTCAAAGACACACACTGATCTATGTTCTCCACCCATTTCCCTTCCACTCCAGAGTCCAAGACTTTTTGGGACACCCCAGATTTGCTAGCCCATTCAGACAACTCTCAGATAAATGATTCAATGACTTGGGCAGGAGAAAAAGAAAACTTCAACATTTGGGAGAGGAATTCCCCTGCTGGCTGGTGACTGGCTGGTGCACTCTAATTGACCTGTGCGGTCCAGCTTCCTGGGGAGGCAGTTTGAATCCTGCGGGTTCTGGTTTAACTATGTAGGCTAATGGTTATTAATTCTTGCCTTGAACAAAGCACAATCCCCTAAAATGATGATGATCTTGGAAAAAGAACACTAACAAGTGTGGATGGAGGATACACTTCAAAAAACCCTGGTATTTCCAAAATATTTTATGGGTTAGGGTTTCTTAGTAAAAGATGTATTCTTCCCACCGCTCTGGGATTTAGATTGACATTGCAATAGTTGATATAGTCCAAGGACTCAACAACCAACTAGTTCAAGGAGTGAGATGTTACAGATTCTAGTTAAGGACCTTCTCAGGACCCCATATAGATAATATGGCATAGTTGAGCCAATTAGAGAGGGAGTATAAAAAAGAAATGATACCTCAACATACAATTTCACTAAACAAAGGTAAGAATACGTGTTCTCCATGACCCCATTGGGAACATGATTTGAGTCACTGAAAACAATCAAAAAGAAAGAGAAACAACTCTATACATGAAATGAGGTTGACAGTCTTGTACATGCGTGTGTGCTAATGGGGGTATTTTCAGCTATGAGTGCTGCTTTGCCAGAATATAGAGAGTAGCTCACACTTTTTACCCTTGCCCACAGCTTCCTGTACAAAGTCAGAATCAATCTACAATGTGGATAGCTCCCCTTTAGATGTGGCACTCTAGGTGTGTGTATCCTTGAGCAATGCACACCCTGAAGAGTTGTACGTAAGCCTTTCAGAGGCTTAGCTCCATGGCTGGATATCTTCGTGACGATAATGGAGTGCTAGCAAATGTCTTGTTGTATTCTCCTTTCTCCACTCCTCAGGGAGCAGTAACACGTGGTTGATCACACACTCTGGAGTCAGATTGTCAATTTAATGTCCTGGCTATACTTCTTACTGGGAATGTAACATTGGCCAGGTTGTTTATCCCGTTTTAAAACTAATTTGCTTAACCTTTAAAATAGGAGATAATACTTATCTACCTCATAAATTGACTGTGTGAATTAAATAATCAATGCTAACACAAAGTTCCTAGCAGGTAGCAAATTCTCAGTTACACAATCTGATCATTTTATGAGTCTAGTTTACAACCAGAGGGAGCTGCTGTTGTTAGGGGTCGTTAAGTTCACTGCTACTCATAATGGACCAATAAACAACACATCTGAACCTTGCCATATCCTGCACCATCTTCACCATCTCCGACATGTTCAAGCCCATTGTTACATTTCCCGTGTCAATCCTCCTTGTTGAGGGTCTTCCTCTATTTCTCTAAACCTCCACCTTTCCCAGCCTGGTGTCTTTTTCCAAGGACATGTTCCTAACATCATACCCAAAGCATGAGAAATGATGTTTTACCAGCCTTGTCCCTAAGGATTTTTTTGTTTTCTCTTCACATAGAGATGTAATTTATAATGAAGGCTACTTTTTTTTTTTTTGGTCTTCTGCAGCAAGTGTGTTAAGTCCACTTCACTTTCTACTAACAAGGTTGTGTCATCTGCATATCACAGGCTGTTGATGGAACTTCCTCTAATCCTGAAGCTACATTCTTCTACATATGGTCCAACGTTGTGAATTATTTGCTCAGCATACAGATTAAATAAGTGTATAAAGAGGAAACAACCCTGACACACGCCTTTCCTGATGTTTTCAGTGTTCCTATATTTTATTCAGACAACAACTCCTTGGCCTATTTATAGAGATCACTTAAGTACAATTAAGGCTTCCGAGATCTTCATTCTTCTTAATACGATGCATAATTTGTTCAGATATGCACAGTCAAATGTCCTCATATAGTAAATAAAACACAAATAAACACCTTTCTGGTATTCTCTGCTTTCAGCCAAGATCCATCTGACCTTAGCAATAATAATACTTGTGCCACAGCCTCTTCTGAACCCAGTTTGAATTTCTGTCAATTCCCTTTTAATATATTGCTCCAGTCACTTTTAAATAATCTTCGTCAAGATTTTACTTGAATGTGATATTAATAATATTGTTGGATAATTTCTATGTTGTTAAGTATGAATCTTTTCTGGTCAGTTGGCCAAATAGTAGCTGTCCTCCAAATTTATTGGAATAGATTATTGCATCAGTTTGTTTAAACACCTCAATTGGTATTCCATCAATTGTTGGGGTCTTATTTTTTGCCAATATCTTCAGTGCAGCTTGACCTTCTTCTGGTGTCAACCAATTTATTTTGGCACAATGACTTACTGTATTCCTTCCATTGTCTTTTGATGGTTCCTGCATCATTCAATATTTTGTCTTGGGAATCCTTCAGTATTACTTGAA